TGATCCAAATGCTAAAGGTGAGCAGGACCGATCCAAAGGCAAGGTACCTGGAGAGCAGAGCAAAATCCTGGCACTGAATTTTCCTGAAGACCAGCACTTTGCCCTACCTGTGTGAGCCGGCTTTATGCACTGTTTGGACAAACAACTCTCAGTGGAGAAGAAGAGAAAGAAATCTGCTCCTGCAGTCATCGGGTTTGAATGCTGAAGTGCAGTGCCCACCCGCCGCTAACTGCAGTCCACATTTTCTGCCCTGGGAGGGCTCTGACACTCAGTCCTTCCCAAATCTCACATGTACAAAGCTACCCACAGTTTTCTTCTCAAAGAGCTACTGGAGGGTGATTTAAGCAGCCTGGGGTTGTGCACATTTGTTTCATTATTTCTCAACTTTTCCTTCACATAATCAGGGTTTAGATTTGATTTTTTTTTAAAAATAAAATCCTGAGGTTCTTCCTTGGATATTGGCATGTCTTTCTCTTCAGTGACATAAAACGAACACTTTTCCCTTCTTTACTTTCCCCACTGAATTTCGCAGGGCAGGCTTTAACCCAAGCCCATGCTATCCCGTTCTTTTTGTTTTCATTTAGGATTCCTCAGAAGGCTTGCTCAGAGTTTTAATCAAGTGATACTTTTTCATGCTCTCAGCAGCACGGTTGTGTTTAACACAGAAAGAGAAACAATGAATTAGTAGCACTTTCTCAGTGCTTCTCCTGTTTTTAAAGTGGAGAACAGCTTTACATTGTTTTCACCTGGTGCAGTTTGTGAGCCAATCTGATGAAGATAACCCAGGGACCTAAATTTTGTTTGAAATGCTTACCCAGAAGAAAAGATATTACACTGGGTACAGATAGTCCCTGATGAGCAAAGTTCAGTCTGGTTTGCCAAGAACTATTGTCAGTAGCTAAGGAGATAGGTTTGGCAGCGAGAAGCTGATGTGTATCATCTTGGAAGAAAAAAACTTTTACCATACTACATAGTGCTGCTCACCAACAGGTCAGGTGCTTCCTCGCGTGTCCATGCCTCCTGCCTCCAGAGCAGGTACACGGAGTGTAGCTGAGGCTGCTTGTGCAGAAAGCAGTATGCCAAGACCAGCTCTAGTTACACGATGGTATGCCATGTTACCCACAGGAGTCCATTAATTAATTGGCGCACCTTAAAGTGCTGCTATCAGGTTGGTAAAGCAGGGTGGTAATCCGTAAAGCCTACCAAGTATGCAAAGGGTGCTGTGATATTTCCAAATAATAAACTGTCACTGCTGGAAGCTAATGGTGTGCTGTCTGTGCTCTGGAAAGAAGGAATAATTTATTTACTATCTAAGACTTACCTTGCTCTTCGCTGTCTCTGCTCTGTTTCTTTGCTGGGTGTGTGTGAGTCAAGCAGATCACATGGATCAATTCACTGCTGCATAGATCAGAGAAATCCAGTGGAGGGGCTTCAGTGGCAACTCGTTTGGATGCTGTGCCAGGGTCTGAGGGCACTAACAGCCTTTACCAAACCTAACCAGCCCCACCTGGGACCCCTGTCCTCCC